GAGCAGGGAGTGGGAGGCAGAGTGGGCCCTGACAGTAGGCAGGCGGGGCTGAGCAAAGAAAAGGTCCAGATGTATTTTCGAGACTAAAAAAAAAGGGGGGGGCACAAATCCTGTCGCCAGAAAGTTTCTTCATTTCAGTGATCATTTATTGGGCGCCTTTGGAACGCAAGGTGCTGCGAGACAGAGATCAAGTGCCTGTTCACGTTTTGCTGATGGAGGTAGGGAGAAATGGCAAGAAAGATCTAACGAATGGCGATTTGAATGTATTATGGGAGCTCCAAGGAAGGGAAGGAAAGCGGGAGAAGGCTTAGCGAAAGAGACCACATTTGAGCCGGCCTGGGCAGTGGAAAAAGGGGCTTTAGTGTCGCCCTTCCCCCCGGTCAGCAGCTGGAGCTCAGCCCGGGCGGGCCGCTCCTCTCGCAGCTCCGACCGCCTTTCAGCCCATTCATACATGCGTGGGCCGGGGTGCGCGGGAGGACAATCGCACACTGTTTTGCTACAGGCATCGGCTCCAACCTCCCGCCTGGCGCCCCCAACGCGCGGCCGCCGGGGGATACGTCCCTCGGGACTCACAGGGCGCGCCAGGGCCCGGGCCTCCCTCGCCCGGCGGGGAGTCACACCGGAAGGCCGAGCTTGCGCCCCGGCCAGTGAGCCGCCGAGAGCGCCCCCTCCGGCGGGACCAGCTTTCGCGGCCCGGCCGCCAGCGCTCGGGTGCTGCAGCCCGGCGGTGGACCCGCAGGGGCTCCCGGAAGGGTACGTGACCAGGCCGCCGAGGGGCCATCGGAGAAAGGGCGTCGGTGGCGAATCCCGTCTGCCCGCGGACGGCAGTGGGCCGGCCTCGGTGCGTACCGCCTTCCAACCATCGAGATGTCGCGGCGTACGCCGCCGCCGGAAGTTCCGGGAAGCGGGCCCGGAGGCTGGCCGGGGCTTCCGGGCGGGGCGCGCGCCTTTCTAGGAGTAAGATGGCGACCGAGCTGCCCGAACCTCCCAAAGCCGAATTGCAGCTGCCGCCGCCGCCACCTCCTGGGCATTATGGCGCCTGGGCTGCCCAGGAGCTTCAGGCCAAGTTGGCAGAGATCGGAGCTCCGATCCAGGGTGAGGAGCACGGGAGGTCAGCAGGGGGCTGCGGGGGCCTGCGGAGAAGCGGAGCCCGGTTACCCGGGAGACCCGGGGGCGGGGGGCGGAGGCGGGCTGCGGGGCCCTGATCTGGCCAGTCCAGCCTGCCCGGTTGATACTGAGCTTTGCTCCGCAGGGAGTCGCGAGGAGCTGGTGGAGCGGCTGCAGAGCTACACTCGCCAGGTAGGTGTTGGCGGGACGTCAGCATAGACCGAGCTTCTGCACTGGGCCTTCAACACCCCTCATGCCTCTATTTTTGTTCTTCCCTCGGCACAGCCAGCAGAGGCTTGCCATTTTTTTCTTGTTCTTGCCTTTGCCAGCTTTATTGTATTCATTTCTATCTATCTTGGTCCTCTCCAGCGCTCAGTCCGAGACAGACGCTGGCAAATTTTGTTGAATGAATGAGAGAGAATGTAATTTAGGGGAAGAGCTTCTTTTAGGCTGACCTAGAGCCCTCTTTTCTCTTTTGCAGACTGGCATCGTGCTGAATCGGCCGGTTTTGAGAGGGGAAGATGGGGACAAAGCTGCTCCCCCTCCCATGTCAGCACAGGTAGGGAGGTTGTCCGCTTTATAAGGCCCCTTCCGAGCCCCTCTCACATGCAGTGTACTTGAGATGTGTAGTAACTAGCAGATGGGACAGGGAAAAACAGAATTGGAAGTTCTTCAGTTCTCTCTTCAGTGCTGATAC